GCAGCAGTCAGCATCGCCGGATCCAATTTATGTAATAACCCTAGTTCCACGGACTACGAAGAACTGCTAACTAGATCCAAATCAGAACTAGCACATTGGAACGCCTGGAAAGCGAACGGTATGAGACTCGGAGCTAGGATAAGGGAATGGGAGATGGGTGAGAAAATGACAAAATTGTTTTTTCAGAAAATCACAGCGAGAGGAAGGAACTCAACCATCGGTCAGCTCAAAGGAGAAGGCATAACGTCCAATCCAACAAAGATGTTATCCATCACTAAATCCTTCTACAAAGAGTTGTACACCTCCAAGACAGATTCTCCCACCCCTAGATCAGTCCTCCAGGTTAGAGAAAAATTCAGTAAATACCTAGATAAAACTATACCACACACCATGGTTGAGGAACTAGAACAACCAATCACAAATGAAGAACTAAAAATAGCCTTGGATTCCATGAAAACTGGAAAAACACCTGGCATAGATGGACTCTCAAAGAAATTTTGACAAACCTTCTGGCCACTCTTAGGAGATGAACATTGCAACTTTATAAAAACTGCATGGACCAATGAAAACCTAGGGACAACTTTTAGCACCAGTATAGTCACACTCCTCAACAAAAAAGGGGACCCAACAGACATTAGGAACTACAGACCAATCACACTACTAACAGTAGCATACAAAATCTTGGCAAAACTTCTAGCCAACAGAATACGAAAGATCACCAAAAATTGATTTTACATAGACCAAACAAGATTTATACCAGGACGGTTCATCTTGGATAATGTCATGACCTTGGCAATGTCAGTAAGATACATCCAGGATAAACATTTAAACGCAACAATACTGTTCTTTGATTTTCAAAAAGCATATGACCAAGTCAACTGGGACTTCCTACAACAATGCATGGAAACAATGGGATAGGCCCGAACTTCAGGAAATGGGTACGAGTCCTATATAACGACGCAATGGGAGAAGTTCAGGTCAATGGCCACATCTCCAACAAATATAAAATGTCCCGATCAGTCAGACAAGGAGACCCCCTGGCAGCCCTAATCTTCCTCTTCATCATGGATCGCATCCTTCTTAAGGAAAGACCCATCCATCCACATACTCCTTGACCGAACAGACCAAAAACCACACAGGTTCCATATCCCCTCCACAATCTTATTCGCAGATGACTTAATTGTCCTTATAACTGCTTCTCCTTCATCATTCAAAGCCCTCACTAGAGCAATGTGTGCATTCCAACTAGCTTCCGAGATGAGCATCAACTGGAACAAAACAGTAGGCTGGTGGCTAACAGAAGAAGGTCTGGACCCACCACAGAACACACCAGAAGGCTTCACATGGGGAAACCCAAGAGACTCTCTCAGATTTATTGGAATACAAATGTCAATGCACGGGGCTGAAACAGAAATGGTCCCTAGCCTACTAGCCAAAATGACCAGTAAACTCAACGCCTGGGGAGGATACACACCTCCCTACATGGCAGAGAGCCAATTTTGAATGCCTCCATATACTCGATGATGTGGTACATTGCACCCTTTTGGGGCCCAAACCAAAGAGCCCTAAGGGACCTCCAACAAAAAGCAACTGGCTACCTCTGGACCGGAGATGCCTCAAGACATAACTTCATCACAAAGGTGGCATGGCAATATGTAACAAGAAAGAAAGACCAAGGAGGACTAGGCGTCCTAGACCCGACCAGCCAAATTCAAACCAAGTGGATTATAAAACTACTAACGAGTCCTAAATTGGCCTGGAAAACCCTGGCTCTAGAAGGGTTACAACATCTTTCCTACTTTCAGTACTCCAGACAACATGGAAGGTTCCTTCTGGATCCTAAGTAAATCATGGACCATAAAGAACAAGTCCCAAAACGAACCAAGACTGAACTTCTGGAAGATACTACTAAAGGCGTGTAGAGAGATCTTTTCGTCAAAGGTAAGAAAACCTATCAGCAAAGAAGAAATCCTCCGACAACCACTCTTCTGTAACCCAAGGTTAACCAACAACGAGAGCACACCTTTTACTCTCACAGCAAAGGACACAAGATGGGGATCGTGGTTGGGGAAGGGCATCCGGCAAATCAAGCACATTTGGGATGATTCAAAAAAGGACTGGAAGACAGCCACACAGCTCAGAGAAAAACTCAAACACTGGCACAATCTAACCCAAAACCTCCAACGAATGACTAACTCCATCCCTCCGGAGTGGACTACAACCCTCAAAAAGGACAAACAGTGGTCAACAGGAGATTGGGCAGTAATGACACACACAAATTCCCAAGAGCACGCTCTAGCCTTTATAAGAGAGGAAGATGGCAGAAAAAACTGACTTACTTTCTCCGTGCATAGCCTTGAAGAACCAGGAGCCGATTACTGCAAAGTCAATAAAAACCCGTTAGCACAAGTTACAGTCAACGAGAGCAAACTAAGAAAAGTCAGAGTAATAGGAAACGAGGAACTTACTATATTCCAACCACAAACCACAATAGGCAGCAGAATGGGCTAGGAACCTAAAGCAAAAGTTCACAAGAATAGATCGCAGAATTAACCTGATCAACTATACCACTAGCCTAGGCTATAAACTTAGAGGTAGATCAACAACACCGGATACAGTCATAGCAGACCACTGGACGAAACACCTCGAAGTAGACCCTGAGTTATTTAAAGAGATCCCGTTGAATCACATAGCAACTTTACACCCCCCCAAGTTCAAAAGTCTACAATGGTTAATCCTATACTTAGCAATCCCGCTCAATCAATGGTTGAACTATAGAAGAAAAAAAGAGGATAGAAACCCCTTAAATGAGATATGTGCCAACTGTTCGATGGGTCAAATAGAGAAACAGTGGAACAGGTTCTCTATTTGACCAGTCCCCCTTACAAACTAATCTTTTCCAAATCCTGTGCACGTCAGCGCTATGGTCCATATGGAGAAAAAAATGCCAGGAAACGGTAGACAAACAACCAATGCACGTACGGGAAGCATGGAATATCCTCAGACAACAGGTGGAAACGGAATACTGGATTTTATGGCGCAAAGTCCAGAGGAAAATGAAAGCAAATGCACCTAAGGCCAAATAAATCCAAACCAAATTTGAGGATAATTACCTTGCCAAGGGCAAGATAGCAACCGTCGAAGGCCAGGGCCTAATCTTTACGATGTGGAACGACACAACACAAACCACTATTCCAAACTCAGAACCAGTGTTTAGCCCACCAGACTCTTTGAGCATCCAGATCAATTCCAGCTAAAGCATCACAGGTTTCCATACCAAAGGCGGACAGCAAGCACTATCAACTTCCCCCCGCCCCTATCTAAACCAAACATCCCCCCCACAACAACTTAGCCGCCCACGACACCACACACATTACAGGCCTTTACTAACAGACTGCACGCCAAACACTAAACCCACACAGACCCCATCCCCAATATAAGGAACCACACAGCCCTAACCCCCTTAACCCCCCCCAGACCCTTCACTCCCCTCCTGCACGCTACTAGCCCCATCACCTCCACCCAAACCACCCAAACCACCCTAGCCAAGACTTCGCACACCCGATCTCATCAACTATCCAACCCCACAACCTAGACCTACAAACACCCATCAGTCTTTTCCCAAGCCAGTAAACAGTACCGGTCCCACCACATAAATAGTTCCCATAAAAAGACTCTTCCATCCAGCTAACACAGCTATAACTTAGGTTACGAGACATAGACCATAAGAATGGTTTTCAAGTAAAGGTAAGCAGGACAGCTAAAATAGCTGGGGTTTAAGTTTTAGCACCAGGATGATTTTATAGAAAAGGGAAGATAATACAGGAAGGATAGAGGTTAAGCGAATCCATAGACAATATCAACTAGACCTGAAAGGGTTTAGGGTTTATCAAGTCGTAAAGAGGAGGATCACATCTACAGTTCTCGTATTTAAAGGGAATCTGACAGTCTAAGAACTGAGAGGAACAGGTTAGATGAGTCTGGGAGAAATGGCATGGCCAGGGGGAGAAGGGTCGGAAATCTCCTTTAAAAGAGACTTCCAACTCAGCTTCAAGAACTGGTTCTCGCTACGACCAGGAGCCGCTCTCAGGGATCCCAGAGAATTTGCAGATCCTTTTCCTTCATCCCATCTATCATTGGTAGAAATACCACAGTCCTGTGATGTGACGTAAGATGTAACTGCTTGGTTTGGCATGATAGATTTGGCGGCTTTTATAGCTGAAAAAAAAAAAAAAAAAAAAAAAAAGGTTAGATGAGGCCTAAGCCGCCTAATGTAAGCAAGTCTACAGGAATTCACAGTACTGGTTTCGTTTCCATGTCTTAGATTCAAAATAAAAGTAATCCGGGTAACTTAGGCAGGGGTGAGGGGTGGTAAATCCTTCGAACAAGAAGCGTGTGTGAGTCTTATATGTATCTCCTTTTGACTTGCCGGTGGAATAGGAACCGGACTGATGCTCCCCAGAATGGAAAAGGAGACAGAACCATATGGTTCTGCTTAAAAAAAAGAAAAAGAAAAAAGAAAAAAAAGACAACTGCCATTGCAGATTGCGTGTACAATTGTTACTGCAGTAACCCCAGACGATGATGTTTTTTTTTTGTTTTTTTTCCTTGAAAAACAGTGCCCCATCTATTCTTGGGGATGGCTGGTTGCTTATTACCGGCGACTTCTGCAAGCAAGACTAAGAGCAATATACAAGGAACAAGAAAAGGTAGAAGGCTAGAAGCAGAAAGGAAAAAAAAAACAGGAGTAGAAAAGAAGTCTTGCAGAATATACAAGAAACAAGAAAAGGTAGAAGCATGGGGGAAAAAAAAAAAAAAAAAAAAGCAGAAAAGAAGCAGACGACATCGTTTCTCCTGAAAGAGTATTGGGGAGCAGGTAAAGGTGGGGGGGGGGGGGGGGGGGGGGGGGAAGGATCTCAACAAGCTACAGCAATTGCAGTGGTTGAGTGCTGGAAGACTTGCAACCAAAAAAGAAGAAAGGGCGGAAGGGAGGGGTTTGAAATTTGAATGCAGCGACACAGCTTTAGCATTAGTTGCCAGACTTACAGCCAGGAAAAAAAAAAGGGAACTTGACGACCACTGCAACGATTCACCGGATTCGGGGAAGAGTGTCCACTTGCCGCTTCTCAAGCTCAAGTCAGACTCTTGTGGACTAACGACTCGCACATGCCACATAGGGCCTTGATGGAGAAGGTCCCCTCCGTCTATGCATCATGCACAAGCAGACCTCTCACTGATAGCTCACATACGTTTGGTCCCTCAGGGCCTCCTCTTCTCCCCTTACCTCATCGCTCTCCCTCTACTTTCCATCACAATCTACCTCCTCGCTGCTCTGAATCATCTCATTGTTGTCCCTTCTCTTGCGTCTCTCCCACAGCCTCACTTCTCCACACTTGAGAAATAATCCGCAAGTGAAATCAATCAACCATTGACTGAACCGTCAGTCCATGGATCGACTGCATTCAATCTGGCTGTCGAATGGGTGGTTGACGTCAACATGAATCAATCAACCCCTCCATTGATTGATCGTTGTGTGAACAAACCAGTCCATAGTCAAGAAACACAACAATGGTCTTCTCCTTGATGATGATCGACCATGAAGGCTCACACCTTTGTCTTCTCTTACCCTTTTTTTCCCCGCGAAAGAACCCCCAGGGTGAAAAAGATTGAACCTTGATGACGCAGTTTGGTGACATTAGCCCTACGAAGCAGCAGTGAGAGGAGGAAGGGGAGGAGGAGGAGGCAAGAGGATTACAAACAAAGAAAAAAGGCAGAGGATGACGATGAGGAGCTCAGTGGCTGGGGGGTGAACAATGCGCCAACGATGGACTTGTTCCGCCGCCATTCACCTTACTAGCAACCTGGCGATTGTTGATGCCAGCACCAAGGACACAACGGTGCCGAGAGGTGAGCATTTCATCGAAGGTGGTGCAGCCGATGAAGCGATTGTGGCATCTTCAGCAGTTATAGAAGACCCCTTCCTATACACAATGGGGCCAGCAGTTTTAGGAGGGACCCAACTGGGATCCAGAGCCTCTCGGTACCCAAACGGGCGTGAAGCGGAGAGGAGGCGATGTAGTAGTTGTTCTCTCCCGACACTTTCGGTCCTATACTTTGACAAGAGCCCGTCTATGGCCCTCCATTGGCTGTCAATCTGCGCAAGCTCGCTGTCGGAGCACACGGAGCCCCCCGTATCCCCAGTTTCTGATCTCCAGTTAGTGAAATTGATGAGTAAGATAGACCCCTCATACTTTTCGATGCTGAAAACCGGCTGATCGGGAGCAGGACTGGTCATCCCCTCGACGTAGGAGCAGTAGAGGTTCCGCCCTCTGTCAAAAGCATGAAACACTTCCTTCGTCGTGTAACCCATGGCACGATAGGATTTCAAATTGCCGGAGTGCGAAGAACCGAGGGTCAAGAGGACCTTCTTTCCGCGTGTGGCTAGCGTGTTCCCTTGAACAGCCCCCAAACTTGTGTTCGTCTTGAAACCCAGAAACAACCCCTCTCCCACGTCATTGAGGACAAAGTTATCTTTCACCGTTCCGTTCGTCATGCCGTCGTGAGCGATGGCCCTACCTACGACGTTGACCAGGCTATTGTTAAATATGTAGAAATCCCGCAACTGGAACCCCAGATAGATCGCCGTCGCACCGCCTTCCTCCATCTCATCCTCTATTGGCAGACCGACGGAGCCCCAGTTTCCTTTGCCATTTACAATTATGTTATGTGCATAAAGCTTTTCTCCATCTGACGCCAAAGGATTCGCATTGGCAATGGCCCCATAACCCGTTGATTGCAATCCAAAGTCAAAGATGACATTTTGCGTGATCACATTCTTAACCATCGGATTGCCCAAGATAGCCGTCGATCCTATCGACCATAAACTGTTGTTGTCAACTCTAGAAGCCTGGATGCCGACGCCGTCTCCGAATCCGGACATGTAGCCAATGTGGTGCACCGTATTACCCGTTACGACCACGAATGGCGGGTCTTTCGGGGACCAGGTTTTGCTGAGAGCGGGGTCGATCTCCGATAAGACGCCATACGCCAAAGACCATCCGATGTCATTGTTCTCGACCACAATATTGGGGAGGGCATTGTGAAAGGTCATAGCGTAATCAGTTCGCAGGAAAACGCAATTGCGCACGGTCACATTGTACACGCCTGTTGGCGATAAGTTCAACCAAGGATTTCTGTCCATAGGACCCATAATGATTGACTGTGCTTTGAGGTCCACGATGGAGGTCGCAGTCCCTTCCCCGGTTCCCGCGTCGTATACACCAGCCCAAGGCACAACAGATGGCGGAGGTTGGTTGGCCGACGGCACCTCGTAGTTCCCTGACCGTATCCCGAAGATCGACTTCTCAAATCGGATGTTTTCGATGACCAGGTTCTTTGCACCCTTGGCGATCTCGACAACCGCAGGCGTGTTGGCACTCAAGGCAACTAAGGACACTAGATCGATTGGCTGCCCAGGGATTGGGAACACGTAAAGATTCTTGCCATGATTATCGTACCAGGCTTCTCTGGGTGAGTCCAGCTCACTGAGCACGCCATCCAAGTACAAGTAGATCGGAAGGCTGGCCGCGACTGCACTCGAGAGTGTCAGAGTGTCATTACTATGTCCGATCACGCTGACACGTTGCCAGTTGTGCACTCCGTCGCGCAATACGGCCCTCGCACCAACCCAATACCCATCCGGCTTATTAAGGGTCGCAAGCTTGGGGCTGCGAATAACATCTCCCTTGTAGGTCCCTGCGGGGGTTTGCTTTGAAGAGGTGACAAAGAAGGGACCAAGGAGTTCCGATGGGCTAATTGCCACCGTGTCATTGTAGTTTCGGAGGTTTGGATGTCGTGGAGGGACGAAGAGGATATTGTTAATGTACACATGATGCACAACGAAGTTGTCGGGTACCGCCGACTTCAGATTAGCTACCATGACATGGGAGTCGGCTTCCCACGCTTGCCACCGAAAGTTGCCCGCAAGTAGAGTTGAGGAGCCATCAAAGATCGGCAGCTCCTCCTTCTCCCAAGGGTTTTTTGAGGCATCCAGATGGTAGGCCCCGATTGTGATCGGCTGCAAGCCGGCGGGCAGAGGGGGGATGACAAGTTTCTCCCTGCTCCAGGAGTCTCCGGCCCGGAACAAGAACTTGTCCCCTGGTTTGGCCAGCTTCAATTTCTCACTAGCCTTCGCCAAAGTCTTCCATGGTGTCCTCATACCCTCACTCCCTATCACCTCTTCATCCAAACGAGAATCTTTCCCAAGTGAGCTGGAGAAGTAGTATGTGGCAGGTTCAGCAAGCGGAATGTACACCAAGGACAGGAAGAGTACAAGTAGCAGTGGAGCACGAGTACTACACACAGCTGGCAACATCTCTGCAGGCCTCTTCTTGCCTCCGTCGTGCATGCTACCTTCATTCAAGCTACTCAACCCCGTACTTGGTGTGGAGCTCCTGCCCCCCTCTCTCCTCCTTGCCCTGGAATTCCTGCTTTGTCCCAACTTGTACGCATGTCCACTCTCGCCCAAGCGTCCAGTCCAGTTAAAATCTTTGCCATGCCTGATGTAGGGTCAAGCTGCTGAGCGGAACCAGGGAGGAGAGCTGAAGTGGTTGCTTGGGAAAACAAGTCACAGCAAAGAGAAAGAGAAGAAAGAGGAGAAAACGGAGGAGGGGAAAGAGGAGGAGGAGGAGGAGGACAAAAGGTAGAAAAACTGAAGAAAGAGGAGAAAGGGGAGAAAGAGGAGAGGAGAAAGAGGATAAAAAGGAGGAGGAGGAGAAATAGAAGAAAGAGTAGAAAAGACGAGGAGAAAGAGAACAAAGGAGAAGGAGGAGGAGGAGGAGAAAGAGGAGAAATCCTCAGGAGAAATCCTCAGGAGAAAGGACGAGGAGAAAGCCTCAGGAGAAGGAGGAGGAGGAGAAAGAGGAGAAAGCTTCAGGAAGAAGAAAGAGGAAGAGGAGGAGAAAGGGGAGACAGAAAGGACGAGGAGACAGAGGAGGAAGAGCAGGAGGGGGAGAGCAGAACTCCAACAGTGTGCACCCCTGCAGCCCTGGGCCCTGCTTACTCTGACTTGCCTGGTCCTTTCAGATCAGCTTAGATTGTGAATGTTCTTGAAGGCCCGACACGGGCCGACAGTATAGCAGATGTGTGAGAATCTGAGAGACACACAGGCCGGGGCCATTGTAAAGGCAAGGAGGGAGGAAGTGATGTCTAAGCAGCAAGAAAGCAAGGGGCTAACAAGAGTGATCAAGATCCGGATGTGGACCTTCAACAGAAGGGAGGAATTTGGGAGAGGAGAACATCGACCATATCTCTGTGTCATCTCCAATCTTCTCCGTTCGTCTTCAATCGTAGTTACCGTCTGTACAGATGATTGTGTCCACAATGACGATGATGATGACGGCGGTGATGATTGTTGCTGATTGAAAAATGGGTAAGCAGTCAGCGATTGAGAACCGACAAGGAGACTGAGCTATTACTTAATGTAATGGTATAGGACAGAACTATGTTCCTGGTCCTGCCTGTGGTCCAGATGCAGCTATGGCCAGTTAGTCAGAAACTGTGCTATTCGTCTTGTAATGAAATCGTACAGGCCAAATCAATGTTCCTGGTCCAAGCCGCTGTCCAGTTGCAGTTATGGCCACTTAGTCAACGACCCCTTAGGAACAAAATGGCCATGGCAACCTGTGAATACAGTGAACATGATGCTTCAATCAATCCATGAAAAGGTTGCAGGTTCAGCTTCTGCTCCTGGTCCAGCCTGCGGTCCAGATTCAGCCTCTATTGCCAGTTCTGTTTCTTACAAAATCTTTCAATCAGTGGAAAAAATGGCCGTTGACCATTGATGGTTGACCTATTCCGGCTATGCTGTTATTCCAGTGAAACCTCTCGTTCAGCTTCTGCTTCTGGTCCACACCTTGGTCCTGGTGCAGCCGCTTGTCCTCCTGGTCCTGCTACTTGGTGCAGGTGCTGCTCCTTTCTGTCAAAACACACCATCCAACTTATCAGATCTTTTGCATGCATGGCTCCTCTCGGGGAGAGGGGGGGGAGGAGGAGAAGAAGGAGGAGGAGGAGAAGGAGCAGGAGGAGGAGGAGGAGAAGGAGCAGGAGCAGGAGAAGGAGAAGGAGGAGGAGAAAGAGAAGGAGAAGGAGGAGGAGAAGGAGCAGGAGGAGGAGGAAGAGGAGGAGGAGGAGGAAGGGATTGCATAGATGGCTCCTCTGGGCCATGATGACTATTATCGCCGCAATGACTAGGTGGCCGAATACCCATTTCCGTAATCAATGCAATCTCAAGTCACTGGAGATTGCATGCATGTGGGGCCTGTCAGTTAAATGATGATATCTCAATACCATCGCCCTTTCAAATAAAAAAGGGAAAAAGTGTGAGTGGATTTCGAGTGAGGCCCTTCTGCTTCCCAGGGCCCAAGTCCCACCATGAGCTTCCTCGTGAACATGTTTGTGGAGATGTGCAGAAAACTCGCATTGAGTTTCCTCAACTGCACATCTCCAAAAACACGTCCAGATTCAGGCTTTGAGGAAACTCAACGCTGCTAGTGGGACTTGGGCCCAGGTTACATAACCTGGAATTGAACTCCAATAGTTTGAAAGCTGCCATTCCTTCAGCAAATGACCCCAGCATCTCCGGGTTGCTGCACTTATATTCTATTTGTAATTACTTGTAAATGCAGAAAATGTTGCTTCAAAAAAAAAAAAAAAAAAAAAAAAAAAAGGATACGAAATTGACGAAGAAGAAGAAGACACGAAGCAATAGCAATCATTCGTGCAGGCACCTGGATAGAAGATCTTCGGCACCTTTGCCTGTGCTGTGAACTTTCTCACGCTCTTTGAAACTGGTGGAGATCAGGGCCGGTCCCGGTGCCCCGGCCAGCGTTGCGCGCTCGTCGGACTACTTCTTCCTGCTGGGTGGGGATCTTTCACAGGAGACAACCTCGGTCTTACCAGTCTCACATATGCAGAGGAGTCCTTGTGTGTGTTGGGGGGGGGGGAAGCCTGTGAGCATTATGGACGTTGCACAACTCCGTTGTCGGGAGAGGGGAGAGACTCACAGCACCCGTGGTCGGCACAGAGACCAAGTTTACCATCAAGCAGACTATAGAGGCGGAGTGGACTTTGAAAGTGCAAACTAGGTCCTATACTCCGTGTGCCCTCAAATGTTTTGCGTACCGTTGCGTGGAGGGAGCCTGTGGACATTACATTGCACAACTCAGTTGCCAGGAGAGGGGAGAGACTCACAGCACCGGTGGTCGGCACAGAGACCAATTTTACCATCAAGCAGACGATAGAGGCGGAGTGGAATTTGCAAGTGCACGCTACCCTGATTGGGTACCCCACTACCCTGACCTGACCTGCTCAAACCACCACTACGTTTCCGAGCTAATTTTTCAAAGTTGTGGCTTGCATGCAGCCGCAACTTTCAGGGCTCGGCCGCCGGAGCAAAATGGCTGGCGGTGACAGCCAAAAGGAGGCCCGTGCCGGTTCACACAGCAAGTTTCCAGCCTTGGAGAAAAGTGCCTCGGAAAAACTGGTGGTTTAAACAACCGGTACTTCCTAAAGTCGTGCCCGTTTTCAAGCCACAATTTTAGGAAACATCTACAGGAGCGCCCAAATTCATACGACTAGAAACATTTCTACTCTTATTTTTTTCCATGGCCGATAACTGGGCCAAGTACTGGTGGTTAGGGTCGGATCCCACACTACTTTCGGTAAGTAAGACCCTAAGAGAAACGAAAACGATGGAGGCGGCCCGGAACGGGAAAGAGAAATTGCATCCCACACACCCGTGCAAATAGTAACTTTTAGTAGTCTTTTACTATTAACGTGCCGTTTGTTTTGGCAAATCTAGCATGCTAGCCAACCAGCAAAAGGAGAAAATACACACACACAACCAAAAAAAAAAAAAAAAAAAAAAAAACAACCTTCCATCTTTTTAGCGGCAGTGTACAGGTTCGCCTCTCTCACGATTTCCTTACTTCTCTCGTGGCGACATTTGCGTGTGATAAGCCAGGATCCCCACTCGGCGGCTTCCCGTACCCCTAAGGGAAAATCCCACGTAGAGCCCCGAAGTACGGATTCAAAATAATGGGGAAAAACGGTGCTTCATTTTCCTTTTTTTTCTTTTTTTCCTTCTATCTTTTGCTTAAACCACCAGTACCCTCCGGTTGTTAAGGCCCAACCCTCCCGCTACCGGTTGCCCGACCCTGCCCGAGCCTACACCTGCCGGTAGTTGGCAAAGAAAAACAAAAAAAAAGGGAAAACAAAAGGAAAAATAAAAAGGTTATAATTACTTCATTAAAAAAAAAAAAAAATGAAAGCCGATGTTGGTTCTGCTGACGAACGCGCACAGAGAGAGAGAGAGAGAGAGAGAGAGAGAGAGAGAGAGAGAGAGAGAGAGAGAGAGA